GGAAGATGGGATTTTCTGTAATAATGTCCTTAGGAAGAAAAGGATTAGGTTTGAGCAAAAACCCAGGGATGATCAAATGAGCAATTTCTTCCTTGGTGATGCTAACCTTTAAACCTGACACTGACAGCAACTGGTAGCACACAATATTTGATAAGAGTGACATGACTTGCAAACTTCTGAACATTTCTGTTATTTGTGATGGTAAAAATGTTTCTTGAACAGTCACTACAGGGAGCCATGAACAAAACTCAAAACCATTCCATCAAAAAATACATGACATACCTATAACCAAACCCCAAAATATCTCTAAATGATGCCATCAGACACATCAAACAGCCATGAACAAAACCTACTAGCACCATCTCAAAACCAGGTAGGGCTAAAGGGGAAGAGGCCTGTACATCATCATATCTCTGCCCCTCATGGCAAAAAGAGTCCTCCAACTCTTTTTTCAAGACTAGACTCTCCACTAATGTCCACTAATGATGAGGTGCACCTCTGCCTTTGAAGTTAAAGTGCTTTAGTCCAAACACCCAGCAGCCTTGTGGGCCACTGCCCTGCCCCCCTCCTGAGCACAGGTTTTAATGAAGGTGAGAGAGGGAGAGCTCCAAATAAAGCTGATGAGCTCTGACACAGCCAAGCACAGCACCCACTGGAACGGCCCTGGAGCCTCACAGTTTGGGGTCAGTCTCCATCCCCCTTTAGGGCATCCCGTTCACACTATCACACCTGCCTGTCAAAGGAGAGAGACGCAAGGCTCACCACAGGGGGAGAGAAAGAGAGAGAGATAAAGAGAAAGAGGGAGAGAGGGAAGAGGGAGACAGGGTACGAGAGAGAAGAGTATAGGAAGAAATCAGCTGAATCAGAACTGCAGAAATATACACAGTTAAAGAGAAAGAAAGAAAGAAAGAAAGAAAGAAGAAACAAACGATCTAACTAACTAACTAACTAACTTACTTTTGAAACATTCAAAACAATATTACTGCTTCCATTTCAGGGCCTGTATACATAAAGATTCCCAGGGTAAGAGGGCTCATCTAGAATCTGTTCCTGTCAGTACAATCAATGTAAATCAGGTCTCCTACTGTCCTTCTACTATACTATATATATATATATATATATATATATATATATATATATATATATTATATATATATATATAGTAATGTCAATAAAACAACGGCATGAAGAGAAACTGGTATGCACAAGCTAATTAAGCAGTAAGCTACATTATGGAGAGCAGGTTTTCTGGTTGTTAAGTAAAGTCAAATAAAGTCATCCAAGTGCAACAGAAAATGCAAAAAGTGAGAGGAGAGCAAAAAGTTTGTTGCTACATTCATTACTTGGAATAAGTATTTCATTATTCATTATTTTACTTCTACCAAATTATCTCACTATATTGGCAGATAATTTATCTTGTTTCAAGCATTATTTCTTTAAAAAGCAAAATTATCTGCCAATATAGCAAGATAAAATTACTTCAAAAGTAGAAGTAAGTTTAATAATCTTATAAGAATCTCAAAACGAGAGGATTTCACTTACCAACTTGCTCAACTACTTTAAAAATGTGCATCCAGGGGGCCCCATTACTGTCTTTTGCCTAGAGCCTCAGAATCATTAAATCCGCCCCTGCCTACTGTGAGAAGCTTTGTGAAACAGTTGAGAAACTTCTACTAAAGTATACGCACTTAAGCTTACAATAGGGAGCAAGTCTTGCCAAACTCTTAAATACTTAATTTCTGTGAGGAAGAACTTTTAGGGAAACTAGGTAAGCCAGATCCAGGGGAAAGTATCCTCATAAATGTTTCTTCAGGAGCCTTAAACCCTTAAAAGTATAAAGTATGCTCCTATGTGTGCTGGGACAGACTGATTCTCTGACCACACTGACAGCCGTATGGCAATCCATCACTATTAGGGCTGCTCTATCTCTGTCTCCTTCTTTATAACATATCTGGTGGTACTTGCATCCTGTTCCAAATTTCCTATCCCACATAACACACTGGACAAACAGATATTGTACAACATGACAATATCAACGCTGTGCTAACTGGACCATAATCTGAATGGAGCCACCAGAGGAGGGTGCAGTAACTGTGACATCTGTGTGTTTATACTGACCCCTTGTGCTGATGCTATATGCATTACTTGAAAGCAAAAAAAAAGACAGGCTACTGAAACCTTTTCAGAAGGCTCTGTGCAGTGCTACAACCCTGTAATGTGTAATTCAGCCAAGAAACATTCATTAATGTTACAAAAAGGAGCTGTAAACAGAGATGCTTCAACTATGAGACTATTTAACTAAGAGCCCAAACATCTGCAGAAATCCCAGAGTTTCTTTTTCACATGCTAAAGGCAAATCGATACACTCAGGTAATATCCTGCTTTGTGATTCTGGCTTAGATGGACATATGAACATATCTACATGCAAGAAAACCTGCAGCAACAAAACATCCTATATAGAATATATTTTCCAAATGTATTTATCAAATACATTTTTGCAAAATATGTAAATGACCAAAAATTGTAATTGTTACAAATATTTCAAATGCATTTATTTGTATTTGTTATTATATTTTTAAATTGTATGTAGTTTTAACAAAGGTTGCAGATAGAACTAAATATACATGAACTGAATGAACTGTCTGTGTTTTGCATTGTACTTTGCAGTAACTATGTACGTATGTGGTAAGACATCACTCACACAAAATGTATTTGAAATAAACAAAGTACCAAATCATAACTGCACTTTCACAGTCCATCAATGTACCATGTTAAAGGTTTATTTGCTAATATTATATTATAATATTATTAATATTAATATTAATAATAAAATTAAGATACTGGAATAAAAGTTCATTTCAAGAGGTTTTCCAAACATTAAAGTACATTAGACAAGTATTTTAGCTATTTTCATGCATTTTCAAATGTATTTCATAAATAAATTTACATATCGCTGCTGTCAGAGCAAAACCTTGTCTCCATTTTTGTTTTTGACGCAATTTGAAAGTAACTATTGCCCTTTGCATTGTTTGTAAATTTCATGATGAATGGAGCAAAATAAATGGCCTAAAATGACTTGGGGGGGGGAAAGGCTGGTTCCACTGACTTACATTAAACCTTACATTATTTATTTTTCTATAGTACATTTCTACATTTCATGTGTAATATTTCTCCATATATTATAAAATAAATACAAAATGTTTATATAATTAATTAAAACACATTTGATTAATATGGCAATATATTCTGAAATACATTTTAGTGTTTAAAATGTATTCCAGCATTGATTGCAATGTATTTGAAATGTATTTCAAATATATAAAAATATATGTTTCAGTTAGGGAGTTGTTTGAATTTTGCATCACCCCTTGCTCCCTATAAGTGCACTAGACCATGAAATAATAGCTTTTTACACCCAAATAGTGCTCTGTTTATGTCCAGAAGCCATTCAATCTAGATGCAAGAGCATTTTTCTGAGTACTATATTAACTATACCACTGGGATAGGCTCCAGCTCCCCCCACGACCCGGAAGGATAAGCGGCTTAGAGGATGTGTGTGTGTGTGTGTGTGTGTGTGTGTGTGTGTCCATCTGCTCCTACTTTTCAAACTTTTCAAATTTAAGCCAGAAGAATATATTCTCTCAAGCAGAACATTTACAGTCTAAGCAAAAAAAGCACATTAAGGAAAAAGAACTAATTTATTGTTTGTATTTACAAAGAATGACACAAGCAAATAAAGTGTGAAGTATCTTGAGTCTGGATCATTAAATACACCCAGAGGACTTCTTCAGGATTTTTGTCTGTTATTCTCTGCCGTCCCAGTGTGAAAAATATGAATTCACTTTGGCTGAACTGTTTATTAAGCCCAGAACACACCGAACAAACAAACATCAACAAACACAAACAAACAGAAGACTGATGTGCTGCACCTGTACACTAGAATGTTCTCTCTCCATTCACTCTGGTTCATTTGGTTTATGAGTCCTTTCCTGCCCATTCTAAAGACAACTGCAGACTAGAAGGTTGTTTCCTATTTGGTTGGTGTGCTGTGGCCTTTACAAGGTCCTATATGTAGATTAGGCTGATAAGTTATGAAGAGTTCTGCCAGTACTCTCTCTACTTCTCTTCCATGACAGGTTAATGAGCAATTCCACTGATTTGTCAACATTTTTGTATAATTCAGTCATTCAGAGTGGTTTGCTGTGAAGTGCCCTGTTGTAGAGAATTGTTCACAGTGGTGGTGATAGGAACCAGACATCTGAAGTGTTAAATGGCTCTGAAAGCTACCTCACAGAAAGTTATTAAACACTCTGCCAGATGCCTGAGATATTGTTCTGTGATTGTTTTGAGAGAAGCGTTTGGCCTAAGATATTTTTTAAATTACATTCATGACAGAGAAGTAAATGCAGGGTGTACTCAATGTTTTTGAATGTACCACTATTTTACCACTATCAACATTACAAATAAAAACTTTCAAGACACACTGGTGATTTTAGATAGTAACTAATATGGTTACATTTGCACCTGGTTCCTATCATCGTCAGGGTAAAAGAAAATTACGTTTCTCTACAATAGACCATTTCAAATCAAACCACTTTGTTTACATCTCAGTGACTGAATTATTCCAAAATAATCAGTAAAAATCAGTGGAGTTCCTCTTTAACTGCCATTACTCACACTGCTTTCAATAGATGTGATTTAAATGAATTTGGCCTTGGAGTCAAAGTCTTTTGACCTTTTTAAGCCCTTTCCTTTGTCCTTTTGTTTAAACACACAGTCCCATGAGCAACACATTTACAATCGGTACCGTGTGAATGTGTCTTGTGTGTTTTACTGTTTTTCATGTGGAATCTCCATTAAAAAGTCCATTTGTGCCATTTGTTTCAGTATAATAGGCATGATGATAGACATAACAATTGTAGAGGCTACTGAGTTCATAAGGTGAGTCCTGTCATTGGAAGCATCAGTGCAGGGGTCGTTTAGGTTCATGCTGGGCAACTTTAGCTTGACAGTAGATGCCAGAACAGTGGCAGAAGGGCTAGCAGGTAGTTGACCCCTCCGCTGAGCCTGGTGGCGTGCCCCGTCACATTGCAGTCGTCTGAGTAGCAGCAGTATACCTTCACCCCTGGAGCTCTGTAGCCTTGGCTGTTGGCTTGGCTACAAAATGATTTGTACGAGCAGGACTTCATCACACCACCTGGGAACAGCATTCAGTAAAAACCTCATCAATAAGAGCATGATAGCACGGAAGTTCTAATGTGCTTTGCACCCCACAAAGAGATAGTGGACCCCCTGCAATGTCTGAGCCGTGGCCAGACGGAGCAGTCTGTCAACCACCTCAGTGTTTATCCAGTAAGCCCCTTGATGTCTCTCTCTCTCTCTCTTTCTCTCTCTTTCACACACACACACACACAAACACTGTAGGGTTTAAAAATCCTCTCTATTGGTAAAATAAACAATTGATTTTCATCTCTAAATGCTCTTATAATTATAGCTTATACAAATAGCTTATGATACTAATAGCTTATAGCTTATACAAATAGCTTACAATACAAGTAGACCAGACTCTCAGTGAGAGTAATTAAATCTGTGGCAAATATATAACTCACTGCCATGTCCTTTGACCACAGCACATGCATCTGAGTAACTTGGACATGTTTTGGATCCCTGGCGATTGCAGTCTTCATCTGTTGACCCCATGCAGGTGTAACATTGCAGTGCCCCACCTAGTCAAAGACACAAAAGACTACATTCATGCTTCATTCATCTACTTCACATGACTTACTGACCCCTAGAAAGTCTGGGATTTGGTACACTGAGAGACTATTCACCTGTCAATCACGTATGAGTCACACATGCATGTACACCTGATCGCAAACTGACTTAAGGAGAAGAATAGCTGCATGAGTAAAATACAGACTGACATTATTTAAATGTATAATGACAATGATGCAGTTATAAAAGTATTATTAGCCATTGTAGAAATTAGTTCACTTAGCACATTAATAAAATGTGAATGCATTTCAGCTATGTTGTGAGTATTTCCCAGCCATTTAGTGTTAGTATAGTGGGCCTCTGAGGTCAGTAGCAAAAGTAACTTTGCAAAAAGAAGAAAATTCTCAGTGCTCCTGGGCTATTCTTAAAATATGTTTCAGCTAAACCTGTTTGATGCGCTTTTGCCTTTATATCCCAAATGTATTTTTCCCCCCACAAACAACCTTTGAAGTCAAGCCAAAGGGTTCCAACACATTCACTCTTAAACCTGCCGAACTCAGAGAATGTCAGAGAAAAAAGCACACATTTATTTATGTTGCTTACTGACAAGACAGAGGAATACAGCAAAAAGATGTGATGTTACATACAGCAAGTCTCTGGTATTTCAAATGTTTTAGAAGCAAAACTCATTCCCTGAGTCACGACAGCCTTATAAATCATACATCTTCCGAGGATAAGCCATCCTCTGCTGACCATATTGACACAAGAGCTCTGAGGCGCCAGTGGCCTGAGGTTTATTTTGATGTCTTGCTCATAAGGTTAGGGCTCGTTTTAGACTGGCCGATCATAGTGCTGATGGTCTGATAGATGCAGGGGCTACTTCCCCTATGAGCAGCCAGTTATCAGCTTATCATTCCCGAGCCATTTGGCAAATATCCTCACAGGCAATTTTGATCTGCTCTAGGTATGGAGTTTTCGCTGAACAGTGGGAAAGCCTCCGGTAGTGATTGCTTCATGCCGGAAGAAACAGCAGATGAAAAATTTCCTCAGGGATCTGACCTCAATCCTCTGCCTACCACCAAGCTCTCTCCATGAGCTGTTATCATTTAGCTTAAATCAACTTAAACACCCATTATGAGCTTAGTTGGTAAGACTGCATGCTAGTCCATTAACATAACTGCTGAACACGAAAACTTTTGATTCACTTCTTAATCTGTTATAAATATACACAATATTTCCAATGATTTGTAGACACTCATTGTGCTTTAAGGTGCACCCCTTGCTGACACAGGTGTCTAATTACATGCACACAGCTTGTATAATCTCCATAGAAAATCACTGCCTAAGGTCAGCATGCTCAAGCACTAATTAGAAAGGTATAAATCTCACTGCACTGGGCTGTGAAGCACTGGAACTACATTCTCTGGAGTGATAGAGCATCATTGTATAACTTTGGGATGAATCTGAGTGACATTTGTGATCGAGAGCTAGTCATCCAACCTTAGTTCCTGACCTCACTAATGCTACCATGGCTGAAAACAGTACTGTGGCTGAAAACAATCAAATCCTCTCAGCAATATTTCTAAGATTTAGTGTGAAGCCTTCTCATATAGGGGTTTGTACTGCCGCAACGGGAGGTATCAATTTCAATCAGGAGAAATTATCAATCAGAAGAAACGTTATGAGCAGAAGTCGACAAAGTTTATGGGTATGATGTTTGCATGTGAGAATAAGTAGAGCACAGAGAACAAACTACTGCACATTTTTAACATGTTTAACATGTAAAGAAAAATACAACATAAAATGTGGCCTGTACAAAAGTTATGGCGCACTTTAGATGTTTATGATTTTTTCCAATATGTTAAACTTAGCAAATAAATATAACTTGTGCACTAAAATTAGCAGAGAAATAACGTATTTAATGTAATGTAATTTGACCAGGGGCATGCACACTTTTGCATACAAGTGTATAGTGTAAGACTAAGGAAAACATCTATGTGGAAGTTCAATATGTTTTTAATCTATTGGCAGCTAATGTAACTGACAGTTATTGCACTTCCCATACTAATTCAATGTGAGATCTTTAAACTAGTTTAGTGTGAGATCTCCTCCTTTTGTTCCATCAGTTTAAAGAATTAGTTTGTCTATCTTTATAAATTCTTTGTTCCAAAGCTAAAAATGATCTCAGGTGATATTTGGGATATGCGCTTATATACAATATACAAAATGGAAACATTTAATAAAGGCAGTTGCATCAATGACAAACTGACAATGCACAGACTGATCAGGAACAAGAATACTTCAGCCAAAACAACAGATGGAGGTCTTGACTGATAAGCTTATGAAGCATAATACTTATGAGTTCACTACACCATGCTCCTTATAGAATAGAACAATCCTGGTAAAGAAATCTAAAGAATGCAGAGGAGGAAAAATAAGAGAAAGTTACTCACTGTGAGCGGCAAGCAGGACAAGGGAGAGGCCAAGCAACAGGCAGCACTGGACAGCTCTCATGTTGCGAGTCGTCTTTGGCCCACACTTGAATTGTACAATGAAAAGCAGGTTGTTTGCTTCTAAAACCTCTGAGCTTAAGCCAGGCTATCAGAGAGCTAATACCCCAGCAGAAGCGAACAGAGGAAGATTACAGGCTTGTCCGCTGAGGCCCTAAGACAGGAGTGGTGCTTCACCAGCTTGATTAATCAGGATGGAGGAACCAATTATCTCTCCCTCCCAATAGTGACCATCATTTAAAATTCTTACTACGCTTTCTCCCTATGCAGCAGTCTGTAGTCCGAGCAGGGCCCGGTGCCGTGCCTTGTAAAATGGAAATGTTATTCTTTCAAGGTGCGCCCAAAACAAGTCTGGCTAAAGAGTTGATAGTGGGATACAAAACTGAAACTGAAGAAAACTGAACAGAAACTGCCCTGAGGATTGACATTTGTTAAGATAATCCTCTGTTCACTATCATGACAACACAAAGACTAATCAATCACACAAGTCATTTTAAACGGCCAAAACCTCATTCCAGGCCAAATGTAAATGTTGAAGGAGATTTTGAAGGGCATTTCCAAAGGTTTGCTTCAATATACAGAAAAAATTAACTTTAGAAGGTCACGTCATTTGAAGGTTCTTCATGAATAGTGATTTACTAATAACCTTTTTTTGGCATCTTTATTTTTAGCAGAGCTGTGCAGCTAAGATATTATGTAGCTGTTTATTATTTGTGATAGCTGTTGTACAGCTGTGCTGTACCTACAGTCATTAAAATAGCAGAAATTATCTTCATGCTGATAAAACACCTGGGGCAGATTTACTAAGACAGGCACTATTACTGACAATCTCTGTACAATTTGCACTAATAGCGTTGGCCAATTTAGTGGGTTATCTAAGTGGAACTCACATGCAGATGAACACAGGCACAGCTTGGCAATTAACATATGACCAGCACAGCATAAGAGTGTTTGGCTCACATGCTTTTTGTGAAAGCCTGTTTCTATGAGAAAAGAGAAAAATGTTTCTAGTCTTTCTTTGTTTCAGGTTTAAATTTTGACTCATTAGGTCAAAATAATTACTAATTTTCAGAGTCAGAAGAGTGGCTAACTTCCAAGAAAGGATGTGATTTTTTTCAACATCATGTAGTAATTAATTAATTTAATTCATGAGGAGTTCATGGAAATTAAGTATTTTTTTCTTTCTCTCTCTGTTTGAAACACATTGATTTTTGGCAGGAGGGTTATATTGAGTTCCATACTGAGTGCATTTGTAAACTGTGTGATGATGTAAAATTCAGTTTGATTTCACTGAGCACCCTCAGGTTGTTTGAGAACAGTATGATTTTGAGTGCAACCTCTTACCCACATATATAAATCACAGCGCAAAGAGGCCACAAGAATGCAGATGTAAGGAGTAGCTTTAGCAAAGTAGGGGTTGCAGAGTGAAAGATTTCTAGTGTGTTCTTTTAGCAATCATTTGTAAAAGAAAACTATCAGATCATTATTTATTTATTCATTGAAATAATCTCCTCCCAGTATTTGACGCTTTAAGAGGGAAACACTACAAGACATACACAATGAGGCAAAAGCGCAATAAAGCAGTGACCACTCTGTTAGTCTTTTTTACAGGCACTGAAACGCCATTGCACCAGTTTAGAAAATTCAGACAGCTACTTTTTATCACCAAAATGGAGTTTGTGATAGCTGCAAAGCATTAGTAAATCTGTCCCCTTAACTGATAAGGTCTCAAAACAAAGGTTCAGTATCAGTCGCCCTTTCCATATGCTTGCTATGAAAAACAGAGACAATCTTGCTCTGAATTGTTTGTGAGAACAAAGACAGGACAGGCTGTATAACTCACACATGAGTCAGAATTTAACAGAAGGCCAAATTCTGACTCATTGCTTACTGTATGTGACACCTGCAGATTTCTCACAGGCTCTCACATGCAGGCAGACTATTTCTGTGCCTGCCTGTCGCTGGCACTAAGATTACCAGTCGGAACTAAGCGACTGTCTGCTGGCTTACTGACAGTGGCCATTTTTTCGGGCATAAAAAGAAACTTCCACCAAAATGAACAATGAGATTGGATAACAGGGGAGAAAACAGCAAGATGTACTCATAACGCCTTGAAAAGTGGTCTAATTCACAGAGCAAAAATTATTTTTCCATTGAATTGCCTCTACTGTGGTCTAAATTAGTCTGTATAAGATCCAAAGAAAAGGAGCAGCCGTTTTTATTGCCATCTTTTATTGCACTTTGTAAGCAGGTGCTTTATAACTGAGTAGATTTCCTTTTTAGGGAAACTTCTACTGTGCCACATCAACTGAAGCAGGACTGAGACAAACCCATCCAAAATGAATTAGCTACCTTAGGACCAGAGACAGAGGACATTATGCTCATTAACATTTCGAAACAAAATTGAGAAAAATAAAATCGCACATCAGTTTTGCTAAGTGGCAAATAAAACATAAGAGTATCTACAAAAAAGATACACAAGGAAGCAGTTTAAACAGTATCAAAAAACGCAGATGTGTTCCTTTACTATATTCAGCTCATATCCACAGAAAAAAAGGAAGTTCTGATTCTATCACATGCTTTTTTAATAATAATTTCAGAATCATATATATAGATATTATCTTTCTTATCATCACTTGTGTTTTCAAGTTCAAAGAGGGTACCACAGGAATTAGTTTAACAGTCGGCTCCATCAGTGGTTGTCATGGCAACATAGCAGTTAAACTCACCCTCACTCCTAGCATACACACTCGCTCTCTCTCTCTCTCACACACACACACACACACACACTCTCATAAAATATCTTTACTGATGGGGAGCACATCTCTAAAAACTTCCACAAGACCCCTGTTACAAGTAAGTTGGTGCACATTAAAACATCAAAACGTACAGTAAGTAATTACAGTGGAGTCATAGTCCAGAGTGTCCTCCCGGTCCCTGGGAGTCCAGTTTCATGTAGAACATCAGTAGTGTTGAAGATCTGAAGTCCATTATTCTGTCCAGCACTCAAAAAGACAAATCCCAGCACACTTCTTGTGACAGCTCTATGCTCTGCTTCAGTTCCTGTCTTGTCCTATAGAGGTGTGGACAGAGCTCATGTGATGGGTAGCTAGCTCTTCCCCATTTTGGCAATCAGCTCGTCACAGATCTTGGTTAATTCCTCGATTTCTTTGTTCTGTAAAAAACAGAAAATAGTGTGTTTATTGAGTTTTTACACTTGCTCATTTATTATAGGCTGCTGTATCGCTGCATATTAACTTTCTAAGTGGATGAGAGAGAGTTTGTTTCCATCTAAGACTCATTCTAACAAACAGAGGTATACATCTCCAACCTCACAATTCAATTTGATTGCAATTTTTTAGGAAATCAGCACAAGATCTCAAATATTACCACAATTCTATTTGATTAGAATTATTTTAAATAAAAATTGACTTATACTTTTGTTGGATATTATAATAATAGCTAAAATATCATCTTCAAAAAGTACTTTTACAGCCCTGCTAACAAAAATAATGTGTTTCACTTAGGGGAAAAAAGAAATATGTAGAATTAGAGTCAAACCTTCTGATCCAGTGTGCGTTCTAGTGAATCCACCTTCATCTGTTCTTTCCTCAGGCTGGCCTGGTACGCTGCCTGCTCCTGCTTAGATTTGGCACGCACTTGGGCAATTTCTGCATTGGCCCTGCAGGATGCAACAGACAGCCTCACAGTCAGCCGCTGCCACTCCACATTATCCATTTAACAACATTACTCACTGAACTTACTGCATTTACTCCCCAGCAGACAAGGCAAATCAAAATATGCAGAAAGCAGCAATTAAGCACTCAGATTTAACAGTGCACTGCACTTACTTATCCAGTTTCTCCTCAGCATGGATTTTCAGGGCCTGGTAGCGCTGCTCCTCCTTGCGCACCCGAGACAGATATTCCTGTGCACATTTCTTCAGGACCTCTTCATTCTACAGTGGAAAAAATTGATTGGATTAAGAGAGTAGGATTTACATAATGATGACAAAAGTAGCATTCAACCTATAAAGAAAAAGCACACAGCTTATTTTTTCTCAAAAGAGCATATTAATAATAGGAAATAATACACTATATGCCCAACAGTATCCAGACACCCCTTAGTGAGTGAATTCAGCTACTGGACAGGCCCTGTACATTTTTCTGCATAACTTGGTTATCAGATTAACTAGGATGCTGTCAGCTCTCTGTGTGTGAAATGTTATGACTCTGTGTTGAGCTGCTAGCGAGTAATGTGGGGTGAAAGGGGAAGGATGAGAACACGTTGTGAAATTAATTCACATCTCTCCATGACGATGGCAGTGGCAAAATAAAATGGACAATGCGACTGAAGCTTCCTTGATAACAAAGAAAAATGGGGTTAAACTGCACAATATGAAAATAGCATTTGAACACAATAAAAACACTTTTATAAATATAGGACAAAAATTCTGTTGGCTTTCAGTTTTGAAGATTGTATATATACATACATACATACATATATATATATATATATATATGTATATTCCATTTTTCACGTTTTTCAGTTTTTGACATAATTTCGAAATACCTGTTACCCTTTACATTGAGTATAAATTACATGATGAATGGACCAATAGAACTGCCCCAAATTGACTTGGGAAAAACGTCTGGTTCCACTGACTTACATTAACAGTAAAGTAGGTTTTTTCATGCTCCTGTAAAGTTAACATTTTGGAGATACAAGGTTATCTTCTGACAACCGCGATATATATCAACCTGAGGGACCTCAGAATAGCCATAAACCTCCAGAACAGTGGAAGTCCCTGACCTGAATAATGCTCTTGTAGCTGAATGCAAATCCTCACAGCAAAGTGTTGGAACACTAGAATAGTAGGGGCTGTTATTGCAGCAAAGTGAGGATCAAACTCCCAATGAATATCCTTAATTTTGTCATGTAATTGAGGTAATGTTAGCATGGAGGCAAATTCATTGTCTTTTCCAGCCTGCCTAGTTTCAATTA